AGCTAAAAGTATCAAACTGTGACCATTTTGGCCACTGGTGAGAAGCTATCATGATAGTCTATGCAAAACTCTTGGTTGTAACTTTTAGCAACAAGTCTTGCTTTGTATTTATCAACTGATCCTTCGACATTGTATTTTATTTTATACACCCATTTTGAGTCGATTACTTTCTTCCCTTTTGGTAGTGCAGTTAGTTCCCAAGTGTTATTTTCTTCTAGTGCGGACAGCTCGACTTGCATGGCCTCAACCCACTTGCTGTCCTTTTTAGCATCCCTGTATGACATTGGTTCCTTCGTAATAGACACTTGTGCAATGAAATTAACATAGCCATGATTGTATACAGGTGAGGTGGACATGAGGAAGGGAAGTTCAGGCATAGGTTGTTCGGTGGTATGGGCGACAAAGTCTTCCATCCAGGCGGGCCTGCTTCTCACCCTGATGCTCCTCCTTATTTTAGACTATTGGGGAATGATGTTTGTTAAGGGAATTTCTTCTCTTCTTTGTAACTGATTTTCTGGTGTGGTTACTATATCGATGTTTGGTATTCCCAGTGGTGTGTCATGGTAATCTGGTTTAGGGTGTTCTGTTTGGTATGAGAAATATGTTCATAGAATATGACATCCCTTAACAAAATCGTTTTTTTATTTATTATATCATATAATTTGTAGGCCTTAGCATCGGGTGCATACCCTACGAAAACACATTTCAAAGCCCTAGGTTCAAACTTATCCTTTTGGGGGGTTAATATTTATAGTAAAACATAGACAACTGAAGACTTTTAGGTTTAAGTAATCTGATTGTTTTTTGTACAAAATTTCGTAAGGAGTTTTTCACTTTAAAACAGAGTTTGGCAAAACGTTTATTATGTGTGTGGTTATGAGTATGACTTCGTCCCAAAACTTTTTTGGTAATTTTGATTCAAACATCAATGCCTAGTAATTTGCAGCAGGTAAACATGTTTCCTCTCCACCACACCATTTTGCTATGGTGTGTATGTACAGGTTTTTTGATGCATGATTCCCCTTTCTTAAAAAATAATTTTGCATTAGGTGTTTATAAACTCAGTGTCATTGTCTGTCCTAACTGTTTTGATTGTTTTCTAAAATTGGTTTTGTATTAGATTACAAAAATATTTTAAAGTATTTGGTACACTCGTTTTCTTTTTTAATAAATAAGTTCAAGTGGCTCTTGAAAAATCATCAATTATGGTTAAAAAATAGAGTGCACCAAAAATACAATTGACCGGGTATGGTCCCCAAAAGTCAACATATATTAAACTAAAAATGTCACTAGTATTGATGAAACTTTTAGGGAAAGACAAACGTTGTTGTTTTGCCAAGGGGCATATTTCACAATCATGTAAAGCTGCACTGCTTGGTAACTTTAGACTGGGGATGTGGATCAATTTTTTGTGGATGTGTGGTCGAGTCTTTTGTGTCATAGTTGTAGATTGTTTTCTTGGGTGTGGTTGATGCATGCTTTGTTAGAGTCTATGTCTTCACTCAAGGTATACGGGCCCTTCATTATTGTTCCCTTCCTAAATATTTTGTTAGTTGTCAAATTATGCACAAAATAATGCTTAGGATGAAAGGAAATGTAGCTATTTGAAGCTTGGGTTAGCTTTCTGACAGAATTAAGGTTACAAATGAATTTTGGTATATAGATGACATCCTGCAGAATTATATTATCACACAGTTTTATGGTTCCTTTATGGGTTGAATGACTTGTGGTTCCATCTGCTAGCGAGACAGACACTGTAGGTTTTAATTTTATGGGTTTTGAAAGCATTTTAAAATCATGGCATATGTGTGATGTGACATCTGTGTCTATTATCCAAATTCCTATATCATTAAAGGCATATAAAAAACAGCATTTAGGTTGCTTACCAGTAGGGCCAGAGTAGCCCATGTACCCTGCTGATTTTATCGTGTTTGCTCGTTGGTTTTTCATGTACTTGTTAATCTCTTGTTGTATGAGTGTGGCCATTTATGTGCCCTAGTTTGTGTTGGATGCTTCTGTTTTAGTGCCATCGGGGGCATTGTTTGCCACTGCATTGGCCTTTTTTTTTTCCTTTTGAGTTCTGCAAACCATTCTGGGCAGCCATGGAGCTTGAAGCATGTGTCCTTCGTGTGCCCTGTGTTTCTGTAATAAATGCATGTCCTGCTGTCCTTTTCCTTTTTTTGGTTTGGAAATTTTTGATTGTCTTTCAAGCTGGTGTAAAATGCAGTGGGTGTCCCCTCAAGTGAGTTACTATTGTGTATTTATCTTTGTTTTTCAACACTAATCACCATAGAATAAGCTCTATTCACACTGGGTAAGGGTTCTATGATCAACATTTGGTTTCTGACATAGTTGTATGAGTCATTAAGACCCATTAGAAATTGGATCAGGTTGTTAGAATTGTCTATTTCACTATGTTGTGTTGCAACATGGCATGTGCAAGCACGTGAGGGTCTTAGTGAGTTAACTCATCCCATAGCCTTTTGAGTTTTGTATAATAGTTGTGACAGAAAGGTTAGATTGTGTGATGGAATTTATTTCATGTTTTAATTGATATAATAGAGGTTCGTTGCTTTCACCATACCTCTCTTTTATTTCATCCCACAGATTTTTTGCTGATGTGGTGAACAGGAAGACACTAGCGAGTTCTTTGTTCATCGAGTTTAGGATCCAAGACACCACCATGCTATCTGTTTTGTGCCATTGTTCATATTCTGTTGCATCAGGTTCGGATTTTTTGCATCTACCATCAACGAGAGCGAGCTTGTCCTTGGTTCTCAACGCAATCACCATTGCTCGGCTCCAAGAAGTAGTTGAAGCCATCAAGGGTGGTTGTGACAAGTTGCATTCCACGTTGATCCGAGTTTAGGAGTGTCAATACATCAGTATTAGAGTTTACCATTGAGCAGTAGGGTAATAGTGTAGTGTAGAAATCAGAGAAATCAGTGCTTATCACAAGTACTGCTCTGATACCATGTAAAGAAACCCAACCGGGTCAATAGGGAGTATTTAATGCTCTTTAATTTTTTGCATTTTTTATTGTGTGGAGGTATTGTAAATTTATACACATGCAAGAGAGTAAAAAAAAACGGAAAATGTGGTCTCTAGAATCTACTGAGACCACTAACTATCCCCAATTTTTAAACTAAAAAAAAATCTAAACCCTTTATTTTAGGATTTTGATCTAGGCGGTCCCCCTGTCCATTTTCTTTCAACTTTTTCCCATTTTTTTTACACTTAATTCTTTTCAGAGTATTTCACTAATTTTACGAGAAAGTGAAAGAGAAGAAACCAAAAAAATCAGAAAGGAAGAAGAAAGGCCCTTTGGAGTTGTAAACCACCCAACAACTTCCCTCACAAAAAGTTTCTAGTTCGCTGATGTTACAAGGCTAAGTTTATTTATTATATGGTGATGAAGTCAAATCATATTAATATTTAGTGCTCAAAAAATAAATGATGGTGGCAACAACCTAGTCCCAAATTATTTTAATCATGTGATGGTTGACATAAATGAGATACAGTGATGGTTTTTGAGGTTGTTAATAAGATATAAATATACACACATACATAATACAAAAAGAGGAAACAGACACAGAAGGTGTCCTTTGCTAGCCAACCATTGGCTAGGTAGGAGAGGGGAGCAGCTAGCTTGACGACTGTCCAGCTGAGGAGGAGAAAAATAAATAAATACATAAGCAACCTGACAGTAGCTATAACGACGTTTGCTTTCTGCTGAAATTAAAGAAAGAGAGAGAGAGAAAAGAATGCACAAAAAAAGAGAAAGGAGTAGGTCATAAAAAAGAAAGAAATCATGAAATTAAGGATATATTTGAATGATAGTTCAATAATAATGATATGATTTTTTCATAGTTTTATTCTATTTGTTTGCATTTATAAACCCATGGTATAATTTTTTGGTGGTTGGTTCATAGTTCTCAAAATCATGATTTTTTTTATTTTTTTAAAATTACCGATTCGGTGATTTTACGACGTTCGATTATTTTTTCTCATTATACCCTTAAGTTTTTTTTCATATTTACTAATTTACCCTTAATATTATCATTCTTCTTCTTTAACATATCTAGGATTTATCTTTGTTCTTCTTCTAAAGCCGACGCAGAGCCAAACACCACAAACCATCTTCATCTTCGGTTTCTCTTGTTCGATCAGGTAAGGGCCTCTGATTTCTCTCTTCATTTCTTCGACCTCTCTTGTTCGATCAGGGAATGGCCTTTGATTTCTTTCTTCATTTCTCTTTTCTTTTTCTGTTTCCAGTGTATTATCACTGCTGGTATATGTTTTCCATTTTTTATTTTTTTTCGTTGCCCTTTTCATTTTGTTTGATTGGTTTTAGTTCCTTCATGGTCGATTGAGCAGTCATTTTTTTTTTCATTGTCACGGGTCCTGCTTTAGCACTCTTTCACATTTCCACTTGTGATAGAGGTGGGCACTTTGTTACCTTCCAATGTTCTAGTTAAACTGGGGATCAAAAGGTCGGTGAGAGATAGCAATAATATGCATCCATTTCCAGGCTAATAGACACGCCCCTTGGGGGATTTGTTGGGTCTTTTAAAAGGACTCAATCAAAGGGCACAAACAAATGAAGGGAAAACTTGCTGTTTTTCTGAGGTTGGGTTTTGGGATGAGAGTAGGATATACACGTCGAAGAAATTCGTTATCTAGAGAGAGTGGAGTGATATCAAATGAGTTTTCTATTTTCATATTTAAAATTTTACTTTTAGATTAATATATATATATAGTTTTTCAAATTAAATCAAACTATATGTCTTTCTCATTTGCTGCCACTCAACAACAGCAGGTCTCAACTCTGCACATTCCCAGTAATTTCTTTTTTCTTTTAGCTAAAGATTGTTATCATCTGGTGGAGATTGTTATTAGGTGTTGTTGTCATCCTGTTTTGGGAAGCTTGAATAGGCGAGTCTACGTGTGTGTGCATGGCCATCTCTGTTGTGGTGTGTATGTGTGGCCTGTGTTGGCTGAGATGATGAATTGAACAGACCCTATGGTCAGTTCGCAGAGAGGACCGGATGATAGATGGCCCGAATGGGAGTAGAGATGGTAGATATATGGAATTCTTGAGGCTAGAGACATGGTCGTTTCTCTTTTGGAGGCCGTAAAAGAAATAATTGCATGGCAGAACATAAAATGTTAGTAAATTGCATCCATTTGTGGAATCCATTTGTACATATGCGTAACTTTATTTAGACCTCTTATTAATTGCTAAAATAATTCTGTGATTCTATATCCAAACATGCAAAATTGCTATATACAAAGGGTGTATCCTTTTTGTCCTAGAAATATGTCTCTTAACTGAAGATAGAACATATAAACTTCAAAGCAATTCCAACCCAGTGAAAAGATAAGAGCATAAACAATAATTTTGAATAGATAATCAATATTAGTTATACATTCTGCACTTTTAGGAGTATTGCTAATCAATATTAGTAATTTCAGCTCAGTGTAATGTTGTTTGACCTGAAGCTGAAGCTGAATCTAAGTAGGGAGCCCAGAGACATGCTATAATTGTGTGTAGTGGTTGTTGCTTATTCTGGAAACCAAGCTTTTAGGTACAATTGTGCACTGAAAGGAAAAATGAATTTTCAAACAAAAACTTAAGAAAAACAAAGAAAAGGAAAGGAAACTTAAAGAAAAGGGTTATGGAGAATAACAAGTTTCCTAGAAGTTTGTTTCTATGATTGAAAAGAAAGAATTTGAGAACAAATTCAAAGTAGAACTAATGGATAATTGTAAATGGAACCTTAGTATTATCTTAGAATATAAAATATTAGAATTTAGGAACAAAATAAAGAATACTCAAGAATTCTAGTAGATATTTTAGTAGTTGTTCAGGAAACATAGAAAATTAAAGAACATAGAAATTTAGGAAAAAGAAATTGACTTTAATAGTTTAATAAAATTTAGTATTTTCAATTATAATTAATTCTATGAATTTAAGAAAAAAATTAGAGACAAGGGTTGTAAAGAGAAAAAAATGAGCGAGATGTTAATAACTGTAAAAGAAGACAAGCTTGAACCATGATTATTTTAATAACAAATTAACAGTTGAATTATTAGAAAAATATAGAGTTAAGGTAAATGAGGAATTGCATTTAAATTATGATTTTTAATTGGTTGTCCGCTGGAAAACTTTTCGTTTTACCTTACATTGTCTTTAATATATAGTTTGTGTAAAAGGAATAATTGTTTTCACAGAACATACATCATATTCAGGGAACTCTTATGTATGTGAGAATTGTGGCTTATGTTCTGCTTCTCTGTTTTGTTAGAATTCAGCTTGATTATTTCATGATTCATTGCTGTTCAAATCCTTTTTCTTTGTCTTTATTTTTTCCTTTATTTCTCATGCAAGTGGTTGTTTGAATTTGAATGCTTTCCTCATATGTTAAAACACTACCAATATAGTTAATTACCTCGTCAGTAGATATACATTTGATATTTCATACTTATTTTCAGATGGATCATATGGAACACATAGCAATGTTAGCAAGAGTTTTAGTGATGCTTGTACGAATTCATATTCATAGAATAAGAAAACTTAGTCATGTATATGAATTAAGGCTTGAAGGTGAGAAAGTTCGAGCCAAGCTTATGGAAAGCTTGGTATCAAGTGAGTTTTGTCGGCACATTATTAGGATGACAGCTCCATCATTTACGAAGTTATATCATCTGCTAGTTACAGAAGGTGGACTTAGACTTACCATTCGTGTAACTGTAGAGGAACAAATACTTAAGATATTTTACTTATCAGAACACAATCAACAAAATCGAATTATATCTTAACATTTTCGACGAACAAGGGAGACGACAAGTCGTCATTTTCACAATGTCATACGATATATGATAGAACTGGCTAATAAATTTCTTAATCAGCTTGATGGATCACGAGTGCCATAAAAAATAACTAACAATCCTAGGTTCTTTCCATTTTTTAAAGTAAATATGTTAAAACTGTTTGATTAAGTTTTTGTAAATGCGTATAATTTTATTTAATTAATGATCAATTAATTTTAGGATTGTGTTAGTGCGATCAAGGAAACGCATGTACGTGTCAAAGTGTCCAAAGTTGATGTTCCAAGATTCCATAGGAGAAAAGATTTCCCCACACAAAATGTTTTGGTGGTTTGTATATTCGACTTGGCTTTTACATACGACTTTTTTAGGTGGGAGGGGACCGCATCAGATTTAAGAGTAATGAAACATGCATTAACGAGAGCTGATGATCTTCTCATTATTCCAAAGGTGATTAAAAAGTTCAAATTTCAAAATGTAAATTTTTTTTATAACTTTACGTAATGTTTTTAAGTTCTACCAAAAATACATAATTTTAGACAATAGAATTTATTTATTTTCTTATATATATGTGTTTATATATTTAAATATATATATATTTTATATGTAAATATATTTATATATTTAATTAAATTCATGTACTTATATTTTTAATTATATATATGTATATAATTTATTTAATTTTATTAATTTTATTGTATCTATATATATTTATATATTTAAATATTTAATTATATGTATTATATAATATATATACATAAATTTATATTTGTGTTTATATATTTAATTATATATATTTTTTATATATAAACATGTATTTATATATTCAATTAAATTCATATACTTATATTTTTAATTATATATACATGTATATAATTTATTTAATTATATCAATTTTATTGTATCTATATATTTATATATACATAAATTAATATATGTGTTTATATATTTAAGTGTATATATATTTTATATTTAAACATGTATTTATATATTTAATTAAATTCATGTATTTATATTTTTAATTATATATATATGTATATAATTTATTTAATTATATCAAATTTATTGTACCTATAAATATTTATATATTTAATTATGTATATTATATACATGTATGTAGTATTTTAATTATATATATATAATATTTAATTGTGTATATATATATATCTTTAGTTATCTATATATATTATACATGTGTATATATAGATAACTAAATATATTTATATATCTTTATATTTAATATTACATATTTTTTTAATTTTTATTTATTACTATATACAATAAAATAAGGACAAAATAGATAGTTTGTTCAAATATATAATCATATTATACTGTCAAAACAAATAAAAACAATTACAATCCTCAGACATTAATAGACCATTATCTAAATATGGTTAAATTTAAATATTAATGAATTTTATAAATCGTATTCAACATTGGTGAACCATTATACAATTCATCAAATTAGGTCTTAAGAAACAGCATCTCGCTAGTTATAAATAAAGGATTTAGATTGATAAAAAATTAAAAAGAAAGAGGAAGAAAAAAAGGGAGACAAACATTTAAGGTAAAATCTGCAGTAATTCGTAACTATAATATTAAATTATTTATATGTGAATGATAATATTTTATGTAGAAATATGTGAGGTTGAAGTTAAGTTTTGGTGGTGGCCGCGACGAAATAAATTAGAAGAGAATCTAGAATGCGTGTAAGTGCAAAATTTGGAAAATTAAACCAAATTAATATGTGTAAATTTTTACTTGAAATTTTGTAGTATCGTTTTTAATTTGAGGGGTAATTATGTTATTTTTGAAAATAGATTTCGTAATGTACTTCTTAAAATTTAAGTAAATTTTTATGGGAGTTAAATCCTTAAAATATCGTTCAAAATTTATAACCGAAATTATTAAAAGAGGGAAGTGCTTGTAATTTATGAAATTCGGTAATGCAAGTGTGGTTGACAAAATAAGTGAATGCTTGATTTATATATCAGGTTATTAAATTTGAAATGTCTCGCAGGCCAGGAATCATGATGAATAGTGGTTATTTGTGATAAAAGAAAAGATTTATATGGATTACTTGAGTTCCATAAAAAATAAATGTTGTGGATTATTTTGGCTCAGTCGTGTCCGCCAATACTTCGATTTCTAAGTCACCGCCACGTCGCACAGGCTAGCCCTAGCATCTTCCCACCTAGAAGGTGAGGCCAACCAGTTGTCTCAGTGAATGAGCCGGACTTACAGACATAAGATTTCGTGGATCAAGTTTGAGGAAGAGTTGTGGGTCAGGTTTGGGTCGACCAAATTTAAATACCGGGTTGAGGCCCTATCTCGCATCAGACAGATCAGCTCATTGCCCGATTACCAGAGGGAATTTGAGCATCTGGTCAATAAGGTCCACGGATGGACACAACAGGCCTTAGTTGGGACTTTTATCGGCAGGCTTAAGCCCAAACTCACGGACGAGATCCACATGTTTCAGCCCAGAAGACTAGAGGAAGCTATCAGCCTGGCCCGCGCGAGAAGAGCAATTGGGTCGTCAAAGCAAGCTGACCCGAGTGAAGCAGGATTCATCCCGTCCAACCAACGCCTTCCTCACCTGATCAGCCCCTGCGATCCCTAGCATCAGCCACCGTTGCTCCGAAGTGCCTATCTTAGGAAGAAATGCAACGTCGTAGAGTCCTGGGTTTGTGCTTCAACTACGACGAGCGCTTCACTGCTGGTCACCAGTATCACAGCCTGCAGCTTCTGTTGCTTGAGGGCAGTCGAACAGGGGACAAAGAAACAAAAGAATGACGAGCCTGAAATCTCATTGCATGCTCCCACTGGATGGACTGCCGCTCACACCATGAGGGTCGCCGCAACCATCCGCCAATAACTGGTGATTGCCCTCATCAATAGCGGCTCCACACATAATTTTATTAGCAAGAAAGAGACAAGCCGACTTCGCCTTCCAGTGGTGTTTACCAAACTGTTCTATGTGATGGTTGCAAACGGGAATCCCATACAGTGTCAAGGGCGGTTCAACGACGTACCTTTACAGGTCCAAGGTATCTCTTTCACCCTTACACTTTACTCTTTACCACTAACTGGTCTCGATGTTGTATTCGAAGTTCAGTGGCTGGAGTCTCTCGGTCCCGTGGCCTAGAGTTAGAAAATTTTGACCATGAATTTTTAGTGGCTCAAGCAGCGACAACAATTGCACGGTCTTGACTCACCGGCCATCCAACTGGTATCACCTGAAGAAATCGATCGGGATTCTGCCAGCAAGTATTCTCTATACCATTTGCTTGCTGCCAGAATTTGAGAGTAGCACTCACAACTAGATTGAGAGTGCAGAAGCTCCTGTTAGAATTTTTGGAGCACTTCTAGGACCCTGATCAATTACCATCGGTCAGGAAAGTGGACCACCAGATCAGCCTTAAGGAAGGGATCGAGCAGTCAATGTTCATCCCCTTACAGGTATGCATATTTCGATAAGGTCGAGATTGGAAGGCAAATGATAGAAATGTTCAACTCTAGCCTCATTCATCCAAGTACCAGTCCTTCTCATCCCCAGTTTTGTTAGTCAGGACGAAAGATGGTAAATGGTGTTTTTGTGCCGATTATCGGGCCCCTCAATGCAGTGATCATAAAAGATAGGTCCCCCGCTTCCACCATGGATGATATTTTGGATGAGTTACATGGTGCCGCCTACTTCATATTAACAGCAGGGTACCACCAGATTTGAGTGCATCTGACCGATATTCACAAAACAGCCTTCTAAACGCATTACGGATATTATGAGTACCTTTTAATGCCTTTTGATTCGTACAGTGCACCCTCTATATTTCAAGCAGTAATGAACTTAATTTTTCGTCCATATCTGTGTAAATTTGCACTGATATTTTTTTGATGATATATTAGTTTACAGTTCCAATTGATACTCACATTTGGGGCATGTTAAACAAGTATTTGAAATTCTGAAGCAGTTGTCGAACTCAAGAAGTGTGTGTTCCGATAACAAGAATTAGGGTACTGTAACCATATTATCACACCATAAGGGGTCAAGGTGTATCAGAACAAGATTCAAGCGATGTTGGATTGCCCCAGGGCCCACCACTGTAACAGAACTATGGGGATTCTTAGGCTTGATCGACTACTATCGAAAGCTTGTGTAAAACCATGGACTTATTACACGACCTTTAACCCAATTACTTAAGAAGGATCAATTTAAATGGAGTCAGGATGCCGAAGAAGCCTTCATTAAATTGAAGCAAGCAATAATCTCTACCTCGACATTAGCTCTATCGAACTTCAATGAGTCTTTCACAATTGAGACAGATACTTCTGGAGAGGGAATAGGAGTGGTTCTTACTTATTGAGGGAAATTAGTATCCTATCTTAGTCGAGCTATGGCGGTATCCAAACAATCATGGTCTACTTATACAAAGGAAATGTTAGCAATTGTGATTGCAATACAAGTTTGGCGATTTTATCTAATGGGGTGGAAATTCATTATCCAAACAGATCAATCCAGCCTCAAGTATTTACTAAAGCAACAAATCACCATCCTAGAACAACATAAATGGGTCTCCAAATTATTTGGGTATGATTATGAGATTACTTATAAGCCAGGAAAGGAAAATATAGCTACAAATGCTCTCTCTCATCAAGCTACAAGGGCCATAGATGGTGTTGAATCCACCAAATTTTTTTTTTATTCAAATAATAAAATAATATTATAGTAGTAGTGATTAGAGTTTAATCTCAAGAAATTGAGTTCTAATATTCTTTATCGTGCAACAATAAAACAAAAATAAGAGAGAGACATTTTTGTTTCAAGCTGAAATTAAATAATCAATGGATTAAGACAAATCAACAAATGAAAGTCAACTAAATGAAATTGGTAGAAAATAATTCAGCAAATTGAGTAAAATATGTAACGGTCCTGAAAATTTAAATGAATCGACTAGTTTGCTATCACCCACATAAATAAATATTATACCATCACTTGGCTTGTAGTAATGGAGACAACCTTGCATAGATATACTGATGTGAGTTGTGACACCAGAATCTATTCATCAGGTGTGTGTATGTACAGAAGTTAAATTAACTTCATAACAAACAAACTTAAGAAGTATACATTTCTTTGCACGTCATACATGATAGTTAGCACATTATTTTTTCTAGTATCCCGGAGTTGTACAAAAGAAACAAACATTTTCGGTCTGAACCTTCTGTTGCTTCTTCTGTTGTACTAGAACTGCAACAGATTTACTTGTTTTCCTTTTTTTATTCTTCTTATCCTTTGATATCACTGTCATATAAACACTTTCTATCCTCTCATACTTGAACCTTTCTTCCTCCTGAACAAAATGTGAAATGAGCTCATTTAGATTTCAGGATTCTTTCTGACAGTTGTAATCACCTTAAAATGATTGAACTGTGGTGGAAAAGAAATCAAAACAAAGTACACAAGTACTTCTTCTAACAATTCCACTCTTAGTGCCTTTAGTTTTGCATGCATATGTGACATCTCCATTATGTACTCTATGATGTTTCCATTTTCTTTATATCTTATGAAAATAAGAGTCGACAAAAGTGTAAATGTCTCGGCCTTATCACTTCTAGCGAAACATTATTCTAGGTAATGAAGGAAATCTCTATCTATTGTAATCTCATCAGACATAATGTCCCAAAAAACCTCTAGAATGACTTGTTTCATAACTAACATACTCATATGGTTTGACCGATTCAATCTTTCAAACTCCTTCTTTTCCTCAGGGGTACTATCAGGAGTAATTGGATCACGCTGATCAACCCACAAAGCCCAATCTAAATCCATAGCTTCAAGCACAACTCGAACACTATTTTTCCATTACTTAAAGTTTGTGTTGTTCAACATTATGATGGAATTAACATTCGCGGTGATATTTCCAGTAGAAAAGGAAGCTGAACAGACAAAAAATTAATTAATTAGTACTCACATAAAACTATAAATCATTAAATTTAATAATAAATTTTAAATAAATGTATATTTTAGTCTCAAGATACTGAGTACTCCATTAATACTCTATCTTTGGATATAATATTAACTTGTAAGTGGTACCATATAACAATAATTAAATACAGACAGTAGAAATACATTAAATAATAAACCTTCACTTGGGCTGATTTAAAGTTCACATGTTATACTGAATAATTGTCACGTATTCATTATTACAAAAATAAAATGCAATAATGTTAAATATTAACATTCTTTTGGGCCGATTAACATTCACATAAATTATACTCATACAACCGTTTACAATATGAAATAAATAGATTATTCACAAGAGATATCACTTCGGTAACATATTTTGTAAATTAATTTATTTCAATATGTATATGCACATACCAATATTAAAATTCAAAATTAAAATCAAATTTAAATTGAATTAGGAAGAAAATTAACTACAAAATGACCAAAAATACCCTTAAAAAAACTATTTTTTTTGTTTCAAAAGTTGACCGTTGACCGATCAACCATTGATCATTGATCGGGTCAGGTCAACACCCATCAGGTTCAGGCCAAGTTGGTCTGGGCCGGGTTGGCCCAGCCCAAACTTGCTTGGGTTTTGACCTAGTCGAATGGGCCTCTCCCTTTTTCCTTTTTTTTTTTTCTTTCTTTTCTTCCTTTTCTTCTCTTCTTGTGGAACAAGCCCACATAACTTAATTTAAAACACAATAATAAACCCTAAAACCCAAAACCCTTTTTTTTCTTGCTCATCTTCTTCCTCATGAAGTGTGTAACGGCCGCTTTACTAATTGCTATAGTAACAGTTGGAAGGTAAGCACAAAATTCGGCTGCCATTTCGGCTGTCGAACGGTTGCGTAACCATCAGACTTTCTTCCTCATGCAGTGGTAGCCAACCACTGTGTAACATTCCGAACTCCAATATCGGTGGGTACAGACGTTAGCACAACATTTTTAACTAGTAGAACAGATAAATATTAAATATACAACGTAATTATACTTTAATACACATCCTTGTGACTGGATAATTATTTGTTTACACATAATTGAGGCATTTAAATTAATTTATAATATTCAAATAAAAACTAATAAACTTTTTCTTCACCATTTTTTATTTATCTTGAACTTGTTTCTCATTTCCTTTGACCTAGATGTGGGTGAATTGGGGTGAGTTTCACGAGCTCAGTAAGCAAGAAGATTCTATAACAGAGACTTACGTACATATATTCACGCAATGTATAATATATAATAATTTTTATCATAAAAAAAATCAAATAAGCATCACAATCAAAATACACAATAAAACAAATCGTCACATAAAACATATTCTAATCCTCACTCTTATAACCTAATTCTTGTTCTCCTTTCAAATTCCACTCACACTCGAAATATCACAATACACTTAGAATATCACATTTAAGGTTTCATTGCGCAATGTCCTTTATATCGTCATCGAGAAGAGACAAATTGGATCCCTCCATCGTAGGTTCACCATGTCCACTGAATTTCAACCACACACGTACACTCCCCTCCTCGATTCAGACTAAACGATTAGGTATTCAGGGTCCTTACACTTTATACTCTTTCTAAATCTCTCTCATTTCTAATTTACTTATTTTCTATTTAAGATCTTAATCTCTATACATAATTAAACACAAAGACACACACACAAAATATACGATATCATCACGCATATCAGAACTATACATTTCAAAACACTTTCTGAATCATCCTGTACCAAATCACATAGTCTGCATAGGATATTCAGATTTCTCACGCAATTGTACTAGATCACACAGCAAGTACAGTACGCCGTACATCTGCATCAGATCACACAACAAGTACAATTTACTTAAATTCCATACATAGACACACCGGTTATACATTTTACACACATTAATCTACACATATATTATAATATAGACATGTATCATCACTATATGTATCAAACAGAATATATATTTATATTCACACATACACAATCTTTATCAATACATACACACATTCATACTTAAACACGTATACATAATATCACACAATATACCATATATATATAATATATATATATATATATATTTATTCATGCATTTGATCTTATCAGTTCTGTTCTTATCAATTATATTTTTATCAATTCATATTTCATTCGTTGTATATTTTTATATATACACACACATGCATAATAACATTGATATATATACACTATATAAATACACACAAATACAAACTACATATACTAATTATATTCATATTATATCACATATACATTTAAACATTCACACACAATGCACTATACATCTACACGTTTATATAAATATATAATTTATGTCTGAATATGGAATACACACAATTCTTACCTACGGTATGATCAGAAAAATTTTAGGAATCCTTTCTAACTCGATCAACGGTCATCTCGAAAATTCGAATACCGTTTGAATAATTTTCCTCATTTATAATAGAAAACATATAGAATAAATTATGAATAATTTTAAAAACTATATTACGCGAAATTATGAAGGAATTTTACCTTCGGACACGCTGTGCCGGTCGCCAGCGTCACCATGTATCATCATACGTGTGTCATCGAAAATGTCAAGCGCTGATGATCGAATTAGTTCGCATTGTTGCATGCAGCGCACCAACATCATATTGATCGCCACACTTCCATTTTCTCTTCCTTCATTTTTTTTTTAATTTTTTTTCTCCTTTTTTTTTCTTTTCTTTATCTTTTTTTTTTCCTTTTTTTTTCTTTGTTTTTTCTTCTCTTTTTTTTTTTCTTATTTTTTTCTTCTTCTTCCTTCTTTCCCGCAGCTCCTCTTCTTCTCTTTCTTTTTTCTTCTTCTTCCTCTTTTTCCACAACACTTCTTCTTCTTCTTTTTTCTTTCTTCTTTCTTTTTCCTTTTTTCTTCTTCTTCTTCTTCTTTCTTTTTCTTTTCTTCTTCTTTCTTCTTTCTTTTTCTTTTCTTCTTCTTTCTTCTTTCTTTTTCTTTTCTTCTTCTTTCTTCTTTCTTCTTTCTTCTCTCTGTCTCTCTCTACCCACCGTGTCTCTTCTCGCTCTCTCCTCTTTTTCTCTCTCTAACTGATAGCGATTCCTCTCCTCTTTCTTTCACCTCCGATTGCAGTGTCGCGCAACACCGTGCGACCCTTCTCTCTCTCCCATCGATGCCATTACACGCTGCTTTTCCTTTCTTGTTTCTTGCTTCGTATATATTAATATATATATATATATATATATACATATATAATACTTAACTTCTGCATATATATACATATATATTTTTTAATTTTCTACATATATATTTCTAATATTCATATATATATATTTCTAATCCTTGTATATCTACATATATATATATTTGTTTTAAATACATTTCTGCATATATATATATATATATATAAATTCAGTCAAACTAAAATAAAAAGGAATAGGAGCAACGTTACATTAATTGTTAAAATAAAAAAAAAAATTCTTTTCAAATCTTTAAATTTATATAACTAAATATAAAATATCATACTAAATTAACGATAAATATAAGCGAAAACATATCTGAATGTATCGTAGAAAATTTATTTACTTACGGTAATAGAATATTATGAATTAATATAGTGACTTGAAACTAATTTTTTATAGTAACATAATTTTATTAAAATAAAATGGCAATCTTATAATTTAAAAACTATAATTACTTTTTATATCAATAAATTTTTATAATTTTCATTTTGTCCATCTTAAAATTAAAATATTATAAAATATCTATACATTATAAACCTATATTTAAACTCAATGCATTAAAATCTAATATTATTTCTCTATATTTAATCACTTTTAAATAATTCTATAAAATTGATAACATAATACTAGTATCAACACCCACATTTAGTTCACGTCTTAAAAAATCCAACATCCTTTGCTAGCCAACCACTGGCTGGCCTGTAGAGGCAAACAGTTGGCCTGACCACGGACCAGCTGAGGAGGAAAAAAATAAATAAAAAAATACGTGCGTACATATATATATGTAATGATGCCTGTTTCCTTCTGAAACTAAAGAGGAGAGAAAGTAAGAGAGACAGTAATGCAGAAGAGAGAGAGAGAGAGAGAGAGTAGGTGGCTGCCACGAGAAGAAATAAAGAAAAAGAAATCCCGTTGGTCATTGTCACATGCAAATTAGAGGATTGAGACTTGAGAAAAATGAATACCTGAATGCTGAAAGATCTGGACATATTAGGATTTAATTTTTGTATTAATTTCTCATTGATTATTTGGTGTGATTTTATGTTTAAATGTTTATATTATTTGATTCTGTGAATAATGTAAAACAAGAAAAATGAACAGGTCTGACAGAAATTTAGTAGAAAATTGAGCGGAAATAAAAAATCGGTAATTGAGAAGTTCACAAGCAAGAAAGAAAGTTGACACTGGAAATTTTGGAAAAATGAATTCTGTCTTTTTACTAAAGAGATGAGAAAGTATTTATACATGGAAAGTAAAATTACAAAAGAAATCCTGTACTTGTAAGCATTTACATTATATACCATGGGTGTAATATTCTAATAGCCCCCCTAAAGATGGAGTATGCAGATTCTGGATACCCTGTTTGACAATAACATGTTGAAACCTAAAAGGACGAAGCGCGTTGGTACAACAATCTGCAAGTTATCTTGAAGAAGAAATAGGTAGCAAGTGAAGAAGCCCATCTGAAATTTTCTGCCTAATAATATGACAATCAATTTTTATATATCTAGTTCGCTCATGAAAAACAGGATTATTGGCAATTTTGAGAGCCGACAAATTATCACAATACACAGCTGCAGTAGATGAATCAATATGCAGATCACACAAAGCAAAAAATATAACCATTGTAACTCACAAGTTACTATTGTCAAAGCACGGTATTCAGCGTCAAAAGAAGACCAAAAACAATTTGTTGTTTCTTAGTTTTCCAAGAAATAAGGGAGTCACCAAGAAAAACACAAAATCCAGTAAAGGACTTGCGAGAGTCAACATAAGATGCCCAATCAGAATCACTAAAAGCTTTACAATGCAAAGAGTTTTGAGCAAAATAAAAAAATTCTTGACTAGGATTACTTTTAAGATACTTCAAAACTCGATCTGCAGCTTGTAAATGGATTGTAGTAGGAGCATCCAAAAATTGTAAAAGCTATTGAACAGCATAATTGATGTCTGGACAAGTGTTAGTAAAGTATAAAAGCTTACCAACAAATCAGCCGACATGGAGTAGCATCCTCAAGAGGTGCACCATCTTGCTTGATCAGCTTTGTAGGAAAAACCATTAGTGTATGAGCCGGCTTACAACCCAGAAATCCAGCATCATTTAGTAAATCCATAAAAAATTTTCTTTGAGATATATAATTCATTCTAATGATGGAGGAACCTCAAGGCCCAAAAAGAATTTCAACTCACCAAGGTCTTTAATTTTGAACTCAACATGAAGAAAATCTTTGACAGATTGAATCTCATTCAAGCTGTCGCTTGCAAGCATAACATCATCCACATATATCAAAAGTGCAATGAATGAAGATGTTGAATATTTAAGAAATAAGGAAGAATTTGAAGTAGCTTGAGTGAATCTATGACACTTTAAAACATCGATTAAATTAAAGTGCCATTGCCTACTTGCTTGCTTAAGACCATACAAGCTTTTGATAAGTCTATATACTTGATTACCATTAGCTTTGAAGCCAAGGGGCAGAGTCATATAAACTTCTTTCTTTAAATCTCCATGTAAAAATATATTATTAATGTCCAACTGGTGTAAATACCAGCCTTTGACAGTAGATACAGCGAATAGTGTACGGATAGTAGTCAGTTCTACAACTAGAGAGAAAGTATCCAAAAAATGAACTCCTGACTGCTGGGAATTGCCTTTAGCCACTAATCGGGCTTTATATTATTCTCTAGATCCATCTGCAGCCAATGGATGTTTTTCCATGAGGCAGATCAACCAACTCCCAGGTTTTATTCTCTTCTAAGGCTTTAATCTCATTAGACATTATCTCTCTCCAACAGGGGAAATTTATGACTTGATGATAGGTTTGAGGTTTATGTCTTGTGAGATAGCAAAAATGAAAGATTTTTGCGTGGGATCAACATGGTCATAGGATATAAACTGGAAAATGTAATGTGGTGTGAATGTAGAATTGACATAAGACTTCAAAACATAAAGATAATAATCACTTAAATGAGATGGATGTCATGTAGACCTAGTTGATTTCCTAACAGGCACATTATTCTGACTAATAGGTTCAGGAATATGGAAAGACTATGGGCTGTATATTATAGGATCATCATTATGTTGTGTAAAAGAAAGAGGGGATATGTCATTAAAGGAAGGGTGAGAGACATTACCCAAACGAAGTGATTCAGCAGGAGTGCTTGGTACTGCAGTATCTTGAGGCTGTGAAACTGAAATCTGCTCACTTTAATTTGTCATCAAATCATTTGGATGAGGAAAAACATAAGAACTAGAGTCATTATGAGAAGGAAATTAAACTGAAAGACATGTTCAACAAATTAAACATCTCAAAAGACAAATATTTTATGAGTTACAAAATCATAAACTTTGAACCCTTTAATGTGAGAAGAATAACCCAGAAAAGGCATTTGGTTGCTCGGTAATCAAGTTTAGATTTTTCAGACATGAGATTAGACACATAACACAAGCATCAAAAGACTTTAAGATGTTCGTATTTAGGAGTAGAAAAAAAAACAGCTCAAAATGAGTCCTATTGTTGATGACTAAAGAAGGCAGTCGATTAATCAAATAAATAACATGTGCAACACAGTCTGCCTAAAACTGCTTGGGTAAACCAGCTTGAAACATCAAGGACCGTGCCACATTCATAATATGTTGATGATTGCATTCCACCACACCATTTTTTTGTGGTGTATATGGACACAAGCATTGGTATATCACCCCTTTGGTGGAAAAAATTTTAGATATTTTAAACTCTGGCCCATTATCAATATGAATGCATTTTACTTTTGCATTGTGTTGAGTTTTCAATATGCAAAAAAATTAAAAAACAAATTTCTTGCTTCTCCTTTTTCAATCATTGGATATAACTAAGTAAACTGACTCTTGTCATCAACAATAGTAAGAAAATAACAATGACCATAAATTGCCATAACAGATATGGGACCCCAAATGTCAATATGAATCAAATCAAAGAAAGCTTTACTTACTGAAGTACTAATAGGGAATGACAATCGTTTTTGTTTTGAGAGATGACAAACATCACAATTGAAGTAATTACAAGGAAGAACAGAATTATCTTTTTGATGTATAACATGCAATCTTGGCGCAGAAGGATGACCAAGACGGAAGTGCCATAAATTGTGGTTATTAACAGTGCAATTACAATGAGAAAAAATAGAACAAGACTCACGATTTGACTGAACAACATTAACAGTAAGTAGCCTTTCAGCCTCAAGATATTACAATCTTTGCCTCTCCTTAGCTAAACCAATCTTCTTATGGTGTGAATATCTTGACTGGCACAAAAGGTATTATGAAAGGTTAAAAAACAAGGCAAATCCTTTAACAGTTTACTCACAGATATTAAATTCAAGGTGAAATGAGGTGTGTATAAGGCATTACAAAGAACCAGTTTATGTGAGAAATGAACATCACCAATATGTGTAACCGGGACTCATTGTGAATTGGGTAACTTGACATACATGTTTGTAACTACTCTACACAGATTAAACATCTCAAGTGAAATAACCACATGGTCTGTAGCAAGAGTCAATAATCAATTCATTAGGTGCAATATGAAAAGGTAGAGAGGAATTAATACCTTCTAATTGTGCAGATTAAAAGTTGGCAGTAAGGGTGTTCACTCGTGGCATGACAGGTTTGATTGCTACAGATGAAGATGTAGAGGTAGTATGCTGAAACAGGGACAGAAGTTTCTAATATTGTTCCAGGAGTGTTTGATTTGGTCTTTAGTGGAAAGAGAAGACACTCCCTTAGAGACATTGCTTGAAAAGTGGAAATTTTATTGGGAGTTCCTCGTCTCAAGATCATTCTCAACCGGTTAAGTGCCGATTTGATTTACATGCGGTATGTTTCTTGTTCAAGGCTTATAGCCTGGAGGACAACCATGCTTCTTGTAACACTTATCAACAGTGTGACCAATGAGACCACAGTGTGTACAAGTTGGCCTTTTGCTGCTGTTATTCAGTCCTCCAGTAATTCTCCTATTCTGCCAATTATTATTCTTATTCTGTTGGTTAGCATTCACATAAAACAGATTGGTCTCATATGAAGATCCAGAGTGTCCAATGTTAAGTGTTCTCTCATGTTGTATCACTTGTGCATTTACCTTGTTCAGTGATGGTAAAGGCTCCGTCATGAGGACTTGTGACCTAACCACATTTTAGGATTCATTAAGTCCTTTGAGGAACTTTATAATCTTATCCTCCTCTAGATATATTTTATACATATCACCTACTCCACATGCACACTGTATATTGCACTGACATTTAAGTTCAAGCCGCAGATTAGCTAATTCATCCCAAAGCATCTTAATCTAAGTAAAATATTCAGTTACAGATTGTGTATTTTGTTTCAATGAAGAAATTTCATCCTGTAGATCACTAGATCGGACGCTGTCGCCTTGAGCAAACCTATCCTCTACGTCCTTCCAAAGGTCTATGGCGTAATCAATAAAGATTACACTCTGAATAATTGAGGGAGACAGTGATCAGATTATCCATGAAACCACAATTGTATTACAACGCTGCCAAGCACGGTAGGAAGGATCATCCTTCGATGTAACAGGAATACTTCTGTCCATAAATTGCAATTTATTACCTGTTAATTATTACCTGTTAGAACGGTCGATGTGAGCAGAAATGTCGGACTTTCACTTGGATGCAGGTAGTAGGGATTTGTAAGTACCTCATATGTCTTCACTGCACCAGGAATAACTGGAGTGTCCATGATTTTCTGATTAACAAAACAGCTAGAGATCCACCACTAGAACGATTCACCGCGAGTCTAGGGATTCTTGAAAATGAATGAACTGATGATACCAAATAAATCAGAATGCTCTTATACCATATTTGATTCTGTGAAGAATCTAAAGCAAGAAAAATAAACAGGTCTTACAGAAATTTAGCAGAAAATTGAGCAGAAATAAAAATCGGCCATGAGAAGTTCACAAGTGAGAAAGAAAGTCGACATTGGGAATTCTGAAAAAATGAATTATTTCTTTTTACTGAAGAGATTAAAAAAGTAACCTTGTACTTGTAAGCATTTACATTATAATACCCTCGATCTACTATTCTAATATATATATGTTAGGTATGAATATGTGAGTGTTTAGGTTAAGTTTCAACCAAATAAATTAGAAAAAGATCTAGACACTTATTGCTTGCTTAAAATCATAAATTCTAGAAGTGATTTTGAAATGTCAAAAAATCTTTAGAAGATTTTCAGGTTGTTAGTTGAATATGGAACAATGTGTACTATTTATTTAGGTTAAAAAATTTTAAACAGTCTTTTAATCAAATTTAAAATATGTATAGAGAAATATAATTTTTGATAAATAAGAGTGATTATGGTCGGTTTAAGTAAAAATTTTATAGTATTATTAACTTTGAAACTTTTACAAAAAAATATATGGAAGAAAATTCTTTTCCGATAAACAAAATTTTAAGACCTAAAAAATTTATGTAAGAGAAATTGTTTTAGAAATAAGATGTTTAAACCATTTTTTATTAGTTATTAATTCTGTAAGTATTAAATTCCATACCAAAATCCTTATAAAATTTGAGAAACGAAGCCAAAATAGTAAGTGTAAATTTTTGCTTAAAATTTTGAGGAATAAAGTAGCATCGTGTTTAATTTGTGGGATAATTATATCATTTTTAGGGGCTGTTTTTGAAAATAGATTTGGTAATGTGCTGGTTAAAATTTAAATAAAATTTTAAGTGAATTAAATCATTAAAGTCTCATTCAAAATCTTAACCCAAATTATTAAAAGAGGAAAATGTTATGTTATTTATGAAATGGTAATGTAAGTGTGGTGAAAAGGGCCTCGCACAATGTAATTTAAAATTTAAATAAAGAAAAATGTTGATCAATTATTATTGTTGTTATGATTGAATTAATAATTATCCGAACTCACTACTTATCTTAGGAGGGTCAAGAGTGTGTATGTGGCCAAAATTTGGGAAACAACATTTTTGGTGGAAGACTACCACTTGCAAAAAAACTGTGTGCGACCCTTTCTTGATTGATAGAAAATGACATCACACTATATGAATAAAAATAACAAAAAAATTTAACAAATGAAAATTTTAAAAATTGCATGAGAATAATATACCATTTGAGAATTTCTTGCTTAAGAGTTCCCCTGGTATTTTTGTGGATTTATATATATACATAGTTATGTGCCAAATTGTTAGATTATGTGATAGCTTAAAAATATTTCAGAATTAATTTCTTATATTTGATATATTTAATTTAATTTTTATATGTATTTAAAAATATATAATAAAGTTAAGAACATAATTTAGAGTCAAACGAAAAAAATGATGGATAAAGATAAAAGAGCTAGAATAAGGATTTTTTTGGGATAAAATGATGAACTTGAGGCTTATGCTAACTTGTAAGTGCCAACCACTGTGTATCTGTGATGCTCTTCCTACTATCCGTAATTACGTAGAACAAGATCATACTATTAGGTTCTTGAAAGGTCTAAATGAAAATTTTAATATAGCAAAATCACAAATTCTGATGCAAGATCCCCTGCCAGACATCAATAATGTGTTTGGCTTAGTAATCCAGCATGAGAGAACCATACGTGTAAGAGTTCAACAATATGAACCAAATATACTATACACAAATAAAGGTGCTATCACACAAACACCCAAGGGAGAAAGGATATTCAATACCTTTAATAGTGTGAAAAAGAATACTTGAAATAAAAATATGAGTGGAAATAACAAACATGCATGTTGCACATATTGTGGACTACTTGGGCACACTGTGGATAGGTGCTACAAAATATATGGATACCCACTTGGCTATAAACCCAAGTACAAAAACAACCCAAGTGCAAATCAGTTAAGCACAATTACACTTGATCTCAAAATGGATAGAAGCAGTAATGGTGGAGATTTCCATGTTGAATTTGAAAACCAGTGCAATGTATCAGAAGCTATTCATCGTTCATTCACCATGGACCAGTACACAAGATTTTTTCCATCATCTAGCCCAATGCACCAACACACAAGACAACTCATTAGCTGAGAATAACAGCCTCAACAAATTTCCAGCCTTCATTAGAATAAGGTAACATCTATTCACCTTCTTCCAATATACATAACAATAAAGTGAATGATTGAATTATTGATTCAGGGGCAACAGACCATATAGTAAGTTCCATTGAGTTATTTGATTCTTATAGATCTATCAGTAATCTGTCCATAAAATTACCTAACTCTCAAACAGTGCATGTTACTCATATTGGTAATGTACACCTCACACCAAACATTATACTTCATGATGCCCTTTATGTTTCGCAATTTTCAATAAACCTTACCTCTGTTAGTCGTTTGTTGTGTAATTCTGCATATTCTTTAATGTTCAAAAAAAAATTGTTGCTTGATTTAGGAAATTCAGAGTTTGAAGATGATCGGTTCAACTAAGCAAATACATGGGCTATATCGTCTCCAAATTTCAAAGGATATTTTTACTCCAACTGTTAGTTCAATTGTTAAACATAGTCCTATGACTCATTGTGAAACTGTTGATAACCAAACCATTTGACATTTTTGGTTTGACCATCCCTCTTTGTCCAGATTACAAATGTTGAAAAAACTTGATAATTCCATTGTTCCTTACTCTTCATTGTCATGCGATACATGCCATTATACAAGATAAAAATGTCTATCATTTCTAATAAGCAATTTTGTTTCTGAAAATATTTTTGACTTGATACACCTTGACATTTGGGGCCCATTTTCTATTGCTTCCTATATGGACACCGCTATTTTTAACCATTATTGATAACAGGAGTCGGTATATCTGAATATTTTCCACGAAATTAAAGGTAAAGCTATGCAAGATTATTACTAATTATTTCTCATTTGTAAAAACTCAGTTCAACAAAATGATAAAATGCATCAGAATTGATAATTGAATGGAGTTCAACATACTAAATTTTTATGCAAAAAAATGGATTATTCATCAAGTTTTCTGTCCCTATACACCACAATAAAATGGTGTGATTGACAGAAAGCATTAGCACATTCTAAATGTAGCAAGATCTTTGAAGTTCCAAGCTTGCTTACCAATAAAATTATGGGTAGACTGTGTACTACATGCAGTCTACCTCATTAACAGATTACCCTCACATGTCATCAACAATAAAACCCCTTTAGAAATCCTATTCAACACCATTCCTAAATTTTCTCACCTAAAAGCGTCGGTTGTCTGTGTTATGCATCCGCACACAATGTCAAATGTCAACTGATGGTTACATCAACAAAATTATCTCAGACTAATGGCTCAACAACAGTTGATAGTACAACATACAGAAGACTTATAGGTAAACTCATATACCTCACTAACACTACACCAGATATTGCTTTTGCAGTGCAATAATTATCTCAATTTTTGGACTGTCTAACAATTACACACATGCAAGCAACCCATACGGTTTTATGCTACCTCAAAGGCACACCCAGACAAGGGATGTTTTACCCTTATCAAAATACTTTACACATAAAAACTTTTAGTGATTCTGACTGGGTCTCATGCATTGATTCTAGAAAGTTGCTAATAGGTTTTTGTGTTTTCTTAAGTGATGGCCTTGTTTCATGGAAAACCAAAAAGCAGCAAACCATTTCAAGATCATCATCCAAAGCAGAATATCGAGCTATGGCAGCTGTAACATATGAGATACAATGGCTGCAATACTTATTAACATATCTACAAATTCAACAACAAACAACATCTCTTTATTAACATTTCAGCCATTAAACTTGCTGAAACCCGGTGTTCCATGAATGTACAAAACATATATATGGATTGCCACTTAATCCACTAGAAAATAGTTGAAGGCTTTATTCATTTACTACCAGTTTTGTCTGCTCATCAATTAGCAGATTGCATCATGAAACCCCTTCCTTCTCCAGCATTCCAATCTGTCATCTCCAAGTTGGGTATACAAAACTTGTGTACTCCAGCTTGAGGGGGGCTGATAGAAGAAACAAATTCAACCAACTCAACAGAAAAGTCAAAGTCGGTAGTCCAGTCAACAATCATTAATAGAATTAATTGTAGTTAAATTTTAATTGATTGTAATCAATTTAATTACACCTTCTATATAAATACCCAAAACCCAAAACTCTCTATATTTTTTGAACTAACCCCGAGGTATTCTCTCTCCCCAAAAAGACACATTTAGGTACTATTTCGAGTGTGAATCAATGACTGATAGAAGAAACCAATTCAACCAACTCAACAGAAAAGTCAAAGGCGATGGTCCAATCAATAATCATAATAAATTAATTATAGTTAAATGTTAATTGATTGTAATCAATTTAATGCACTTTCTATATAAATACTCAAAGTCTAAAACTCTCTATATTCTTGTTAAAACTCATAAAATAGAAGAACAACAAGATTCAGAGGAACATGAAATTGTAAGAAATTTGGAAGTATAGTTCGAGAATGAGAGAGAATTGATGCTGAAGATATTTATAAAATGAACTCTCTTATCCCTTATTAATTGGAGAACTTGGTATTTATATAGAGAGAGAAAATTGAACTTTTTGTTATTATAAAGTAAACCCTATAGTTATAATATTTATAAACTAAACCCAACAAAATACATTAATTATGATCCTAATAAAACTTGTTAAGTACTCTAATAGCCCCCCTCAAGGTGGAGTATACAGGTTTTGTATACCCATATTGAATATAGCATTTTGAAATGGTGAGACAGCTAAAGCCTTAGTGAAACAGTCTGCCTGTTAGTGGAAGGAGGGAACTGAGAGTAGATGAATAAGACCTTCTGAAAGTTTTCTCCGAACAACATGGTAATCGATCTCTATATGCTTTCTCTCATGGAAGATCGAATTTTCAACAATATTTATAACTGACAAGTGATCACAATATAAAGCTGCTATATAAAAAGGTAGATATAGATCACTAAACAAGTACTTCAGCCACTGTAACTCACATGTGACTGCAGCCAAAGCCCTATACTCTACTTC